CTTTTTCAAAACATGGTTACAACATGCCTCACAATGAGCAAGATAGCAAATCAGTGGAATTAACAGTTAAATAACACAGACAACACAATGTATTTTATTATTAGTGTTCTTATCGTGTGATGAGCAACATTTGCATCCATCTTGATTGCAGACAGTAGGTGGCAGCACTCCGCCCCGGTGCGTCTTATCTTCACAAGAGACGAAGAAGATGACCCCTGCGTCATATTTTGTAGGCGTGTCGTTGTATCACTTCCGTCATAAATACAACAAATGGCTGATGCTAGCTGCTCCGCTACAGTTTTCTGTCGATTCAAGCTCTGCCTTTTCTTATTTGTGTGTGTTTTCTGAGCCCGAGTCTCCATTAGCAGCCTCTCACCATCAGGTCAGTACATAGCATGTACCTGCCGGATGCTAGCTGACTAGCTCAGGCTGTTTTAGCTGAGTTAGTTCAAATAGCACCCAGACGTTTACCCTCAAGTAACCCTTAAAACCCCGAAACCCGTTAAAAACTGTTGTGGATGCGCGGTGTTCGTGTTTTCTTGTGTCCACGCGTGAATAGATAGATAATATTAGTTTTAATGACATTAGCGCTTTGTCTTAGGTGCTGGGATGGAAGCTAGCTTGTTAGCATGCTAGCCCCAGTGCTCACTAACTTTTGGTAACAACAAATACGCACACGCTTACTCCACAGATGACACCAGGTAGCATCAGACTTTCAGGAACAGGAGGCGGTTACAGATACAAAGTCAAACTTTGACACACGTGTGCTGCTTTTGTGTTTATAGCCAACAGAGGAATAAAATGTCCCAAAAGATTCAGTGGCTGTATTTTTCAACTTGTACGCGGAGAAGCATGATTGGTATTTCCATGTCAAATCATCAGGCTCATTATTCCATTACAAATACTATTGTAAGTGTAGTTTAGCACCAAATTGAATTGATCTGTAGCTTAAGCGTATTTCTTTGAACACACTTTAAGTGTATTGGACTGACCAAGCACTGATCAACATTTTAAAGGATTACTGACGTGATGCTATTTGAGATAAACAATGATATCCAAGAAACCACTCTAAAACCAAAGACTTTCTGGATGTTCTGATGACATTACAAATCAACCTGCTTGAAATTGTTACCAATTTTATTTAACTGCTGTTATTTTCATTCTTAACATTAAAATCACTCATACGCTTTAATATTCAGGATAGGGTACTGTTAAGATAAATATGGAGCTGGAATAGAGCTTTAAACTGACATGATCATTTTTTCTCCATTACATATTAAGGAAGATGTGACCAGTTTAAATTACAGAGTCCTCTCAAAAAGTTCTAAATGAGCTTTAACTTTAATCGAGACCTGAGGCACATTCAATTTTGGTTCCATGGTTTTCTTATGAATGACCCAGTTAGATACTGTAGTCAGTGTTAATGAGCGCTGAAAATATTTGGCTGCTGCCCGTCTCTCCCAGTTTTTTTCTTTGCAGATAATCAACAACAGATGAATGGATTTTCTAGGGATGCTTCTCTTTAATTTAAATCTGCTCATTCTTTGTCCAGTTCCATGGTGGCAGGTTCTGCACTCATGGAGCCATCAGCTAAGCCTGGGACCAACCAGGTGGCCGATGTGGTGTTTGTCATCGAAGGGACAGCGAACCTTGGACCCTACTTTGAATCTTTAAGGAAAAATTACATTCTTCCAGCTATTGAGTAAGGCCACAGCAGCACTTCTGTTCTAAGGTATTCATTTTTGATTCATGTATTATTTTAGTTTATTTTATTTCTAATATTTTTTGCCACAGATATTTCAATGGAGGGCCCCCAGCAGAAACAGATTTTGGTGGAGATGTGAGTGTTTTTCCCTTGTTGTTATAATTATTACATTTTTACTGGGTAGTTAAAAAAAGTAAGTGTTACTAATAAAATGACCCTATATTTCTGCTGCTCCAGTATGGAGGGACACAGTATGGCCTCGTGGTGTTCAACACAGTGGACTGTGCTCCTGAGTCATACGTTCAATGCCACGCACCAACCAGCTCTGCCTTTGAGTTTGTCTCATGGATTGACAGCATCCAGTAATACATCTATTATCTAATTAAATATTAAGAAGTTGATGTTCTTACACATTGACAGCAGACATTGAAAATTGTTGAATATTAAATATTATCCTGTTTTTTTCCACACAGGTTCATGGGAGGAGGAGCAGAAAGTTGTAGTCTAATTGCAGAGGGCCTCTCTGTGGCCCTGCAACTCTTTGATGATTTTAAGAAGATGAGGGAGCAAATGTAAGACAATCTTTCTTTTACACACTCCGTATGAAGTAATCTAGTTCTCTAGAGTATTCATCACTCAGCCTATAACTATTTGGCTGTTTGTCCTGTTTGGTCATAATAACGTAATGTAATTAACATAGTAACATTACCTTGTTAACGAACAAAACTATGGTCGTCTGCATGCTTGATAAGTTCTGGCTCAGTCAGGTAACTCAGTTATGGGTTTTTCTGCTTTTCTTAATTGCTTAATTGAAGCAGTGGTAACAGATCTACAGACGGCTCTCTGGCTTCTTTAAATGGAAAACACCACGACTGAGTTTAAGTGGAAGTGTTGCAACTGTAGTTCCAAGTGTAGGATTTATTAATCTAAAAAATAAATGTTTAACACCTTAGTGAATAAGTTAACAGTCAGTAGTTAGTTCACTTTTATAGGGACACTAGTCAGGAGGAAACGCCTAACCTTTTGCCTTTTCTCTTTTTGCCTTTTTCAGTGGTCAAACGCACAAGGTGTGCGTGCTGCTGTGTAACTCTCCTCCATATCTGCTCCCTGCTGTGGAGAGTGTCAGCTACACTGGCTGCACAGCGGACAACTTGGTCAAAATCATCAGAGATGTAAGTTATGAGTGATATGTTCTCCATTAGGCACATATATGGCAAAATTACCTACATAGTTATTTTTTACTATACATATTCTTAGAACAGAGTCATTTTCTAGTTTTCTGTGTTAGATTGATATAGAAATAGATTATTGGGTTTCATTGAATGTTTTTTTGTTTTCAAACTTTTTAGAAAGGAATTCACTTCTCAGTGGTGGCCCCTCGGAAGCTGCCGGCTCTCAGGTCTTTGTTTGAGCGGGCGTCTCCTGCAGGTGGCGTGGTTGAACCCCATCAAGACTACAGTCAGGACCCTTTCCACATGGTCCTGGTCAGAGGAATTTCACTTCCTGGTGAGAAACGATGATTAAAACCTCTATAAGTCTGTTTGTTCAATTAAAATGTCTATGAATAAGCAGTGTTTCTGGTTGGATCACAGGTAAACTTAATACAAACTACAGCTTCAAGAGGCAATCAAAGCTGTTAAACAACCTTCAACCTGTGTACTGAAAAGACCTGGTCCTCATATGGCCTGTAGTCATTATTATAATAATCTCTACTAAAAAGCCTCTCATAAAATTGGTTTAAGTATAGGCTGCTTGTCAAGCATTTAGTATCAACACAGTTAGCAAGTAGTAAAAGACCATCTTCTAAGTGATGGAGAGACAGATGTTTTTTATCTCAAGAGTTAATTTTACATCTTGTCAAAATGAAATCTAATCTTGCTCAGTGTCTGAAGAGTGTTTGAATAGGAAACTGTTTGCCAACACATTGGCCATAACATTTATGAGGAGATAACATTTCAGTGTTATGTGTCTGTCTTCTGATTGTTCTTAATCAAGATGCTGCTCATCACATGCCCTTTCACCTAATTCTTTAAAAGTTTACGGTTATGCTATCTGTAGAGGGCTTCAGTTGTCTCTTAACTTGGTCGTTATTTGTTACTTAGTCTGAAATGACTGCAATAAATGCCAATTAAAACAAATATTGTGAATGACTTTAACTTAACACTCATACAGACTTCAAGATAGGAAGAGTGTTTTTGAATTGATGATTCAGTTTAGTGTTTAATCACAATGCATTGTCCTTTTTGGTTAGCAGGCTACTCTGCTGTTTTCTATTTCTTCAGGCTGCAAACGACATGAGTAGACCTGGCATTAATTTTGTTTATCTCATTCTGTGCATTCTTTGTTCAATCGAGGCTCAAAATTGCCCTTTTCTTTGTTGTACCTCCGCCATCAGCAGCAAACTCTTCCAACTTCCTCTCTGATTTAGTTTTTAGTTTCATTTGGCAAGTTTCCTTTAATCACATCCCCATAAAATATATTAGTAGTAAGCCACCAGTTGCTAATTTTACATGTGTTAATTGCTGCAGGAGATATAAAAAATGTGTTTAGTTTGTGTTATTTGTTATTAATAAAACCATTTTGAGCTCTTCCCATTGGTTACTCCTACACTTTTTAGTGAGGTGGAGTGAATTCCCTGATAATTATGTATTTTTATCTGCCTATAACGAGCCAATGTTGTACTCTTACTCTCTGAATTCTAAATGTTCTCAAGTTTACATTGCAAAACTGTATGACAACTCTAAGCATCTACTATTGACTGTCTCCAGTTTCCTTAGGACCCGGACCACTCAAACCTGTCCTCCCTCCTCAGGTGCTCGCTGTCTCTCAGCCTCTCGTTGGAGCCTCACAGCCCCCTCCTCCCATAAACCCACCCCACTCTTATCAGGTAATTGGCAAGAAGCCATACAGCGCAAGGCTGCCTGGAGATTTAATTCCCGCTGCTTGCTTTTGGCTCAGTTTCAGACAGTGTTGTTTAAGTTCCTTCCCTAAAATGTTTCACCCTTCTTTGTCTTCCTTTTAATCTGCTTGCTGACAGAATTCGGCTGCCATGAGTGCAGCTCAGGTGGCTGCACAGATGGCCGTGGAGGCAGCCAACGTCCAGAAGAGTCGCTGTGAGTTACCAGGGGGACTCTGTGGGCATCTGCGAACAATTCATGTTTGCCAAGATTTTAATTTCATTGCCTCTGTGTTTACATACTTTAAGTGGGGGCTTTTTACAGTATGGCCTTTTATCTCTTTTTCTGGAGTTTAGTTTTCTTAAAATACTGTCAATGTATTGTTTCTGCAAAAATAAATGCACTCTCAGACTTGGTTGATTTTGGGCATGATAGCTTTATTGTCTCTTACCATCAATAATGTTCATGTTTTTAAATGTGGTGTATGTTCTGACTTGTTTTCTCTCTCCTCCTCCAGTCCCAGGAATGGTCAATCAAGGCCCCCCCTTCACCAGTCAGCCAAACATTCCATCAGTCCCCGTGGTGAAGCTCAGTCAGCCCAGCATATCGACAGTCACTACAGCATCGCAGCCTATGATGCCACAGCAACAAATTCCTCCAAATCAGCAGCAGCCGGTCCCACCCCCAGGGCAGCCTGTACCCAATCAGCAACCACAGCAGCCACCTCAACAGCAGCCCTCAGCGAATCAGCCCACAGCGCCTTCAGTGCAGTCCAACATGGTAAGACAATAATCAATATAAATCCAATGAAATGATATCAGTTAAAACTTCCAGGACAGGAACTTAACACCACCTAACTCAATCCATAGCCATTGTCACACTTTTTACTTTTTACCTTAACCTAAATATATATATCCAAAACATAACGAAAAGCAGAGCTAGAGCTTTAAAGTATCTGTTGAAACTAAGTTTCTCTTAAAATAATTGTCAAATACCCGTATCGGTAATTGGTTGCTGTAATCCTTCTTCCTGTCCATGCTGGCCTCGAAACAATCCCCTTATACATGCAAGTGTCCAAGTAGCTAGACAAATGAAGAGGACACATTTCTACATGAGTCTGGTTTTGTGCCAGATTCCCTCTGTGCTTCCCTGTGGAGCAGTAGTTGAGGGATCCTAATGCATTGCAGGAATTTGTAGTAAAGACACCGTAAGTTAGAAGAAAGCAGCCTGATTTGATTAGCTCAGACTGCTTAAACCTCATGCTACCTTCAACTGAACCTGCACAGAATGGGGACTGTAGATTCCGTCCCCTGTGTCTTACATTGGAATTGTGCTTGGAAATCATTTAATCTTTGTTTAATGTACAGAAGGAACAATTACGGTGACCTAGAGTTGTGTTTAGTTGCTGTTTAAAGGTGATATAACATGCTTTTTTTTAGTGTTTCTTTCCTGTCTTGTGGTGTACAGGTTTTTGTGAATATAAAAGATCTTTTCAACATTACAAATTCAACTTAGATTAACACAAATTCAGCTGGTCTTGCTCTGTGTATTTACTCACAGTGTGACCAGCAGACATTGAATCTTGAGCCACAGAGTTTCTGAAAATCTTTTTATCCCACTTAGTTTACACCACTCACGCTTCTAGATGACCTGTCCGTAGATCAGGTTCACATGTAGACATCACTGGTCACTGTCAGTATTTTCTACAGAGACATGAGTTGTACATGGGCTCTTGATATAAAGGCAGTATTCAGGATGTTTTAGATAGATCAGTCAACATTCAGTGGAGTTGTTTCGCAGCAATCAGTCAATTTGCTATTTTCACCCCCTTGTAAACAATATTAATGCTTAAATCATATTGGTATATTTGAATGGAAATGGCCCAGCTCAGTCTCGAGTCAGACTACCAAGACTTCACTGATCTGTGGTGCTGTATCAACAGCTGCCGGGAGTGGATTTTGCAGACGAACACACTGTCAGAAGTCTGATATCAAAACGAATTTTAAATGTTATTACTACGATCAGATAAAAACCAGAACATGTTCCACTTTCACTAAAAAAATCACAGAGGGTACAGTCATTGTTTTTTTTAATCTGTTTTCAAATTCATTCATTGATTCTTCTTCCGAGTAGAAGAACATGAATTTTATTTTAATATTGATTAAAGCCAAACCTAATATTGAATGATGTTCAACTTTAATCTACTTTACAAAATGACATGCTTTGTATTATTAACTTAATGAGAAACATAATTGATTCTGTGTCTTTGTGCTTTAACGAAGGTGTTTGACAGTCAAAGGTTCCGTTCTGTTTTTAAATTGCACCTGTTGACTACATGTAACCACCTCCTGTTCTATTTCATTTGACAGCCTGGTGTGTCTGGACCTCAAAGCAATGCAAATGCAATTGGACAGCAGCAAGGAGTGGCCAATAAGATTGTTGCTTGGACTGGCGTTCTTGAGTGGCAAGAGGTAACACTCAGCAAAGTCTAATGTTAAATAGATGTCCTTTTTAGTGAAAACATGACTCCCACTGACAGACTGTAAATTAATGCTTTGTTAGGAACTGGATTTTAGACAGTCTTTCAGTCTTTATGCTAAGGTAAGCTAACAAGCTGGCTCCAGATTTATATTCAACAGACAGATAAGAGAGTGGTATCGATCCTCTCATCCTACTCTCGGCAGTAAAGTGAATATTTCCCAAAACGTCAAACAGTTTTTTTTAATTAACTTTGCTGGTCTGATGTCCCAGCTGCCTGTAGTAGAAAGCTGGAATCAAAACTTGAGTTGGTATTGACTTCTCTGCCAACATACTGTGATCATCACCACTGTGGTATGTCTTTAATAATCATTTGTCATTGATTGTTATGCACTGTGATTAATTGCACATCATTATACCAACCTTTTTCTATTTGTTTAGCTCAAGGTCATATTGATTTAGTTTACAGCTGCTGTGCTGATCTTGGAGAGTGGATGTTAATGGCTTTTATGCAACACTCGTAAGGCCTTCAAGTGTTTGTGTTCGGTAGGACAGACTCAGATCAATCCCCCCCTATTGACTACACCCTCATCCTCTCTCTTCTACTTTGTCAAAATTATTTATGTCGGTTAAATGGACAGCAATAAGAGTGTAAAGCTCAGGAAACTCTAAATCTTGCAAATTAAAATGTACAGTCGCAAAATAGCCTGAGAGGAAGACTCTGAGCATGAAACGCTGCTCGTGATCTGCTGTTTCCTCTTCACTCCTCAAACTCATTTGGCTGGATCATGTTCTCAGCACAGTGTTATCAATATGATGCTGTTTTGGCTGAATATCAGTCTGTTGATTCTGGAAAGATTTTGCCGTGCAAAATGTAGGATAATGTTTCAGAATGTCTTTTTAAAGCCACCTATAACTGAAGGGAGATGTGTTTAGTCACTGTCCATCCGCCTCTAATATGTATCCCATGTGTCTGCAGAGAAAGCCAAGCACAATGCATTCGTAATGGACCGCACTGGGTGTACAGTAGGCCTGACTTATATGTGATTGATTGATCATTGATCCTTTATTGATGCTCTGAAGATTAAGAGTGATGGCATTTTTCCCAGTAGGATTGCTGCATCGACATGCTTTTTTGTGTTTCTTGACATTTTGCTTAAGAACAGGTTATCTGCCCGTCTCTAAAAGTTCATCCATCCATCCTTATTTTAATTGCTTGCCCTAATTGAGGTCGCAGGGGCAGAAGGGTGAACAGTGCAGCTCATATACTGTATGATAATTCTCTACTATATTCTCCAACTGCTCCCAGGCCAGTTGAAAGAATACTAAATATTCCCTCAGTCCTGTCCTGTACCATTGTGTTTTTTTTATCCTAGAGAAACAATACAGAGGCATCCTTTGCTTAACCACAAGTGAAATTATTAGCTACTAATAGCTGTTTTACACCAAGAATAGTGGGTATACAAAGGTTTTTTAAACATGGGTAAACCAGCTAGAAAAGGAGATCAACTCCTTTCCCATCGCCAGTTGAGGAGTTTAGTTTCTTTTACCCCAGTGATTCATGTTTGACATTACAAATGCATCATTAGCTATGGTGCTCTTTCACCTCACTGTTTTGCCAAAATAGCGTTCACCCTGGTGTCACATTTCCATCACTGCTGATTGGACCCATAGTCGTTTAAAATCAGTGTGTACTGCAGAATAATTTGACCCAGGAGTGAAGTCAAGCTTATTCCTGCAGAGAACCTTGATGTTTGACTCACAAATGCCGTTCCTCATCCCGACCTCCATCGCACATTGAAAATGAAAACAGTAACGCAATCCACAAATAACAGAGGTGTTACTCCAGTGTCACCAGCAGCACCTTGTGGTCCTGTCCATAAATATTACAAACACCAGAGGTGACAGACTAGCTGGAGTCCAGAGATCACGTTGAACATGCTTTATCAGCAGCTAGCGTGCTACGGACCACATCGTAATCTTAAAATCTCTGGCTTGATAACCCTGTCCTCCTCCATACTTTCTGCCAGAGGCTGTGAACTAATGCAGTCCTTCTTTCATGTCATATCATCACAGTAAAAACAATCCAAAGAGCGCTGCGTTGTCAAAGCGTTTTCTTGGTGTGTTTCCTGAACTCGCTACATGTGTGTTTTTTTCATTTCTTCCAAAACCAATGCACATGGTGCCTGGACCAAGGTTTTTATGACAGGTGACAGTGGAAACATTACTGCTTTTGTCCACAGAGGCGCCAAAATCAACAAAAAGGAAATGTTCCTTATATGACCTTTAATGGATGTGGTATGGTTCAGAGGAGAATCAATTTCATTTCAGTGCACTTCTAAATCATGGGGCAGATCAAGGACTTTGTTTTTAATACTTATTTTAACTTTGCAGTGACTTAATTTTGAGCCATATTTGTTTTTATGCCATTATAACGTCCTTGTCTTTACTGAGCACAACAGTAATGTGTCTATAATTTTTGTAAAGTTAATTAGTTCTAAGAGCTTTGTTTTGCTAAAAAGTTGTTCTAAAGCTCTCAAAACCCTGTGAGCTCCATGTAAAGTTATGTTACCCATGTGCTCCTCCAGGTATTTTTTTCAGACTCGCTTCCTAATTTTCATTTTATTGTTATTCCGCACCCATTCCCCTCTGAATCAATTCCCTGCAGAAGCCTAAAGCCTCATCCATGGATTCAGCCACCAAACTAACGCGTTCTCTGCCATGCCAAGTGCACGTCAACCAGGGTGAAAATCTGTGAGTAGCCACTGATATACTGGACCTAATGTGTATGAAAAGAATTGGTTTTAAAACAAATTTGGAATTGCTATGCTGTATGTTTCTCTTTACAGAAACACAGACCAGTGGCCCCAGAAACTTATTATGCAGCTGATTCCTCAGCAGTTACTGGTGAATGCTTTATTTTTTATTTTTTTTTAATGTGTGAAAGTGCTGTGCTGACTCTTGTTTGCAGCAGTGATTTCTTTATGAAAGATGCATAACTAAGTCCTTTCTCGCCTGCTCTCTTTGTAGACAACCTTAGGTCACCTCTTCAGAAACTCTCGAATGGTTCAGTTTCTCTTCACCAACAAAGACTTGGAGTCGCTGAAAGGCCTCTACCGCATTATGGCCAGTGGTTTCGTAAGTTTTTAATCACGCATCCTCTTGATGAACCTCAAATGTGCATTTCCTCCATGTCCCTTATCTTATACATCATTCAGTGTGCCTCAATACATTTTCCATGAGTGACAAATGAGTGCAGCTCCAACCTCTGTCCAGTAGATGGGCTGAACACGAAGGTGTGTTGCAGTGTTTTGTTCGAGACTCTAGAGGGGGTTCCAGGCTATACATCCAGTCACATTCAGGCTAGATAATAGGATTTGAAATATGCTTTGCAATCCGTTCAGACAAAAAAAGCTTTAATTGTTTAGTTCTGATTCAGTTCCAGAAGGCTAGCATAATGATAGGGGTTTTGTCTGTGTGGTGCATTGATAATAAGGTAACACCATTGAGAAATAGCATTAATAGTATTCATTCCAGCTGAGCTCTGAGTCTTTGCCTCAATTTGATTTACGGCCTAGGGAAAGCACTGTATGAATTAAGTTAATACCATTTCCATTCAATTTATAAAACCGATATGTTTGATTGAGCAAAGGAGCTCAGGAGCAGGTTATGTCCCCATGCTCGCCCCCACCCCATAATTACACCGGAGTCCCATGTCAAGGTCTTAATCTGACCTGTGACCCCCCCCCCCTCTCCCCCTCTCCCCAGGCTGGCTGCGTCCACTTCCCCCACACTACATCACCCTGTGAGGTGCGGGTGCTGATGCTTCTCTATTCATCCAAGAAGAGAATATTCATGGGCCTCATTCCCAACGACCAGGGCGGTTTCGTCAACGGCATCCGGCAAGTCATCACCAACCACAAGCAGGTCCAGCAGCACAGAGCGGTGAGTGGCGATAGGAGGAGAAAGTGGAGCGGGGTGGTGGGAAGAGAGGGAAGGTTTCAGTGCGGGTGAGAAAATGAGACCAGAAGGAAGCGATAATAAGGAGGCATTTTGGAGCGGCACCAGGGAATTGAGGTGCATTGTTTAAGGCATTAAGGTGCATTGTTATTGACATTTCATTTATTGAACCCAGTATCTTCACAGCAGCCCCAAAGTCTCTCACTCTAGTAGAGGCTCATGGGGTTAGCTGCAGCTGCAACATTAGCTCTCTCATTGCACTCTCACTTCATTACCTGTGCTGAAGTGAGGGAAATGTAGATGCAATACATCCGTGCTCTTTATATAAATTACATTGCATTTTTTGTGATTAATAACATAATCCATTGGATTAAAGTTACCTGATCTGAATACTAAAATATTGCACCCTGAAGAAAAGGATGTAGCCTCAAAATTTTGAGTTTAACAACTATCTTAATCAGCATGTTAGAGCTAAGCTATTGTCACCATCAACAACCATTCTATTACTTTGAAAGATATGAGCTGATGAGCTAAATTCAAGCTAAAGCCAAAAGCAGCTAAACCCTTCCCATATTTATCTTCTGCAGTGTTTTGCAGCTAACTTGTTTTGCAGGAAAACCTGCCGCCGTTTTTTTTAAAAGTCAAAGCGATGGTGATGTTGTCAGGAAAGGACACTTATTTTGGCCGGGCTGCTGCAATAACACCTTTTTTTCCCCACCTTGTCACACAATGGAGCACTTTTCTAAGAAACCTCCATGTGCCAGACACACAATAACATCATCATCATTAATCAGCATTAGTTAAGGTAATTTATAAACATTTAGGACTTTTAATAAAGCTGCTTTCAGATTTGCACTGGACTCTAGATATCTCCTGACATGCTGTAGAGGGTTTTCTATGTGAGAACACAGCCAGAGATTCACTGTGAGTCGGTGCGTTAAAGATGCCGACGCTGAAGTTCCCATCTCAAAATGGATTAAGTCACTTAACGTACTGAGAATTCTTTTGAACATTCATAAACATAACTGATAAATCATCAGCAGATTGATCAGAAATAAAATTAGATACAGGCCCGGCCCTCTTACACCTGTCTTGTTTTTGTAATACCTGTTCGGTGTAATGTCATTGCAGTAACACAATTTGAGGAGGATGATATCGTATATCAACAATAAGGCTTAACAACTTAGAGATTCAGTTTTAAAAACAGCTACATTTTGTACAAATTTAGCTTTGCAGGGCTCTCAAGATGTAATTGTACATGAGATGCCACTATGCAAAGTGATGGAGTGGCAGTGGTTTGTGCCCGTCTTTAGGGACAGGATAAAGAAATCTCTAATCCAGGCCCTTCCTTCCAACCCCCACAGACCAAATGAACCAGTTCCTGTTGCTGAGTTCATCACAGGTCACAAACTGCTGCCTCGTCCACGTGGCAGAAAAACTTCACTTTCCCTCCCTGCTCATCTTCATCCCCGGAGACGGGATGATTTAAAATGTGTCCTCTGGATTAGCTGTCTGCTCCACTGCAGCTTATTGCATAGTTCCATGTGAGACAATGCAGCATCCAGCCACAGAGAACCAGCATTCCTCGGTTTAAAAAAGAATGAGGCCTGCTGTTGGGTTAACACGAGTTAAATCACGTATCTTGTCGCAGTCTGCTCTCATCAACGGCGATAGCATTTGTGTACTCAGCCTGCTAATTTTATGTCCTTGCAAAAGCGCGTCGGCCCTATATGTAACTTGAATCTTTGTGTGTGAGCATCAGGGCATTCAGAGAAGCCAGAAGACATAAAATTATAATGAAGATTTTTTTTTCTACCTTTTGTGTATCATCACATATTCAGTGCTGCATCGCTAATAGGGAAGCGCTACAGCAATCTTAACGTAATTAAAATTTCAATTTGGACCAGTAGTTAAGGTTTCTCTGTACAAAGCCCTGGAGTGGCATTCTTCAGGATGGAGATTGTAGTTTGTTCTGTTCACAGCGTGGATAAATTGAATAATTTCACCCTGATCGTGATCCAGGATGTTACAGGTTACTGGGTTAAAGACGGGAGATAAATCACAAACAGTATATAAGAGAAAAAGAAGCAGATGTTATCGTCGGTCAGAAAACACACCATGCATTAGCACATTCCCTGGGTGACTTTTTCAGATTTGGCTCAATGAATCTCCTTTTTTTCTGAGTCTGTAGTTAATAATTTGTGGTTCAGAGGCAGAATGAAAAACCCTTTTCCCTCTGTATGGAAACAAACAAACCCCCACTGCACCTGCAGAGCACAGCTAGGGGCAGCACAGTTTTCGGATTTCCTTTAATCCTATTTAAGTCCAGGACTGTTCAAATAAAATGTGTGTACATACTGTATATGTTTTAAATATAAATCTGCATTGTTAGAACCTACTTAGAGGTGTGTTTCGGTAAGTTAGAGCAACAGGTTGCCTTCCACTGTGGATGGATAGGATTTTTTTTTACACTCCAGACTGCAAACAGCCGAAGTCTTAAATCATCAATTTGTTTAAAAACCATGAAATACAAAATAGCAAACACCTCAGTGGGAGGTGGTTAAAGTTGAATCTCCGCTGGTGCATCATCATCCTCCACGTACCTTTTTGCTTTCCGTCTGTACGCCAGCGAACAAAAGACGTGTATACGCAGATTCAGACCAACACTTTCAACACAGAAAACATCATAAACGTGCAGCACGTGTAGAATTTACATATTTGTTTGGACAAAAAAGATAATGGGTATGATTGCTTAACCCAATGCTGCTCATTATGTTGAAAGGATTATTGGTCACTGTAATTCTTCTTGCTGTCCATTCTGGCCACAAAGGAAAACCTCCTAAAGTAATTTTAATTTAAGTATTAGGGATAGAATCCACAGCCCTTGTTTCTATCCCAAGAATACATAGACACAAATTTCTGTAAAAGACACATGAAGACGGTATCTTTCATGTTCTCTCCCCCTGTGCTTCTTGGAACAGCGTTTTGTGGAGGTACGTTGATGACAAAAGCTTTGAGAGTTGTGAGCGCTCACTTTTCTAAGAACAGAATCAGTTTTGACTGTGCGTTTCCAGTCATACGTGCACTCCTATTTTTCTCAAGTTTCTCTGGAAGCCTCTGAGCTCAAAACATTGATGGAGCAAGCTGCAACAGGACACACACTCATCCAGATGTTACGGTCATCATTTTTTTACTCTTAAACAACCAGACCTGTCTCCACAGAGCTGGAGGATGGAAAGCCGGAAAATAAATCAATACTTCTGGGCTTATAAGGGGTGTCTTTTTTACAGATATGTTTACAAAGAACAACAGAGATAAGTTATACTCAGAATGTGTAAATTTGACTGAATCTAAATGATCACGGGCACATTCACCTGTTTGTTTACTCATCATCGAGCTTCGTACATCTGTATTAAAACAAGGATCTGCTCTGTTTTACAAGTACTTCATATATTTGATCTTATTTGTTCCACATTTAATGGTTCATTCATTTTGCTACTACACAAATCTGTGTATTTGAATGTTTATGAGGTGTGAAAAACGAAAAGGTCACCTTGACCTTGTTATTTTCCTTTCCTACAAGTACTGATGTGATGTGCTTTAGCAAAGTGGTAAGACACCATCACCTTTAGCCCAGAATGCAGGAAAATAAAGACATTTGTAGTGGGCATCTTAAAGATATCAATGGTGATAGAGGTAAGGCAGAGTAGTACTTGAGAAGAGTATGCATACTAAGTAGAGCCTGGCCGATTAGGATGCGGATACTGACATCAGAGAGTAAAAAACATTCAATTCTGATATAGATTTTTAGAAATTGTGTCATAATCAAACCCTTACAACAAAGAAATGTAATATTCATATTTTACAGTTTAACCATAAACTTTATTAGGAATAAGATTTTTTTTTAATGTAAACATAAACGCACATCTTTTCTGCATTGGTTATTTTGTGGAATAAAAGTTATATTGGCAAACATAAACAAAGATACAGATTTGTCAGTGAAAAGCTCATATTGGCCATTAATCAGTTGGGCTCAACTACTGAGTTGATAAATAAAGGTGATAAAATGTTACATGTTTCCATGTGATGCTGTTAGAAAAACGTCTGTCCTCCTGTTACACATTCTCTCTGTTTCCATGCAGCAGCTGGGCGGCGCAGGTGGTCCAATGCAACCTGGTCAGGTCCCACCGAACCAGAACTTCCTCAACAGGCCCTCTGGTCCCATTCCTGTCTCCCATGGCAACGTCCAGCAGGTAAGTGAGCCCACACTGTGCTGGCATGTGTGCCCGTGCTTCCACATCAGTTCCCCCTCTCACACTACCTACTGTTGACACCTTTACTACCCCCGGTGCCTGCTGGTTTTCTGCATGTCTTACTAGTAACACTCTCCTCCGCTGTGCTCCCTTTTTTTCCCACACTTCCACCACTCTTACTCCATTCCTCCTTTCTCTCTGATCTGTCCTGTGTCCAGTCTGTGGTGGTGGGCATGCCTCCTGTTAGTCAGGTTTCTATGATGGAGGAGCAGCAGAGGCAGAACAACATGGTGAGACCCTCAGGAGCCTCTTATCATACAATGTGGTCTGGGACTCTGATTTAAAGGCTTTTAAAGTATTAAAGCATTATTCAGTTGTGATAGGTTTTCTGTTGTTCTACTATGCATTGACAGGTTTTACTGAGCCACATAGATCATCACACAGCAGATTCATCGATACAACACAGTCCTTCCGTCCTATTTGCCTTTTTTTCCTCTATGATGCTCACACAGTATATACCAATGGGTACCAATAATAATGATAAATAATAAACAGTAAGTTCATTTTATTCATAGCAATATAACAAAGTGCAGTATAGAGATATGTTGCATAGACATTGTGCATAAAGCACAAGCATAAAATACATCTGAAGATTTCAAGATGTTATTTCCACTGTTTCAGTGCATGTGTTTGTAAAAAGTTTTCAATTAGGAGCAAAAATCAGTCTTTAAACCTAGAGAAAGAGATTTTTTTGTCATTATTTGATTTGATATGAAAACTAAAATTGAAAACTGATATCAAATGTATTTATTTTTTATATTTTATATTGCCCAGCCTGACACCAGTTCCAGTTTTTGGACATGTGGTTCTTTTGTTCCATATACAATTATCTATCACAGCATTTAAACTGGAAACTGTTTTTAATGCAGATCGCTGTTTTCTGAACCATCAGATTTACAACATATTCTGTAGTTTCAGTTATTTTACATGACTCGATGGTCTGAGTCAACACTAAACTGATCAACCATAACAATAAAACCTTTAACCTGCATTAATGTTGTGAATGATCAATAAACCCACTGCTCAACATCATGCTGGCTTCCTATTAGCATGTGTTGACTTGAATGCTCTGCTTGTAGCATGTCTCTGAACAAAACATATTAAATGATAACATGCATGCGTGAGTTTGTGCTATTGACGAGCAAGTGTTTGTTGGTGAGCATGAGGGGACAGGCAACACAAAACCAACAGGATAGACAGACCTGGTCAAGACGTCGTCTGAGCTGTTTGTACACAAAGTTTGCGTTAGTTTCATCCTTAAGGTGGTGAATATAAACCTGGAAAGATTTATTATTAACATGGGTTAGGGTTAGCATAGTATCCTGGTCATCACTTCCAAACTAGATGCAGATACTCGTTAGTATTTTCATGGTTGACACAGTTGTAACATTCAATTGTGTAAAAGCATACAGCCAAAATCTGTAGAACAACTCATTCACTGTGTCTTCTTGTATCACCTGATAGATGGAGCTTAAAGGTACAGTCTTATTAAATTTCCTTCTATCGGATATTTGCTCCATCACCTCTTCAATTCTGTTGAAGCTCAAATACAGGCATGTATTTCCTGTTTTGTTGTGACGTTCAAGCGGTTTTGGTGAATTCACAGGTCAGGTCTGCCATTAGAGGCACTTTTGTGCTGTGTTTGGAAATGGGGTTATTGTTTAATTTAGTTGGCATATTTACTAAATGATCACAAGATAGTCTGTAAACACACCGATCAGTGTCTGGGTAGTGTGCACTGTAACTTATAATGTGACCGTATCTTATGTCTGGTTAAACTGTGTGGCTTTCTTCAGATGACAATGAGAGCAACCGGACCAGCTAACCAGCAGCCGCCGGTCAGTGGTGTTCCACCCAACCAGGTGGCACAGAGCGGACAACCCCAGCCCCAGGGTCCCATACTGCGCCTCTCGAACCCAGGAGCCAATCCACAGCTTCGCAGTCTCCTCCTCAGCCAACAGCAGCCAGTAAGAATGCAGCAAGCAGCTTTTTATTAGTGAATGTCTCATACTGTAAATTACTGTTCCAGAGGAGTTTCAGCAAAGCTAACGTTCTTCTGTCTCTGTGTCCTCGCAGCAGGGCGGCGTCACTCACATGCCGGGCATAATGTCTCACCAGGGTTTAGGGCAGCAGTTGGTCCACTCTGCACCAGGAGGGGGGGCTCAAATGCAGGCACAGTGGAGACAGCCCCTGGCAGGTCAGCATGCACCCCCCACAGCTTTGGAAGGATTCAAGTTGACATGGAATTATTAGAACATAGGACTGTTAATGTCCCTCAATGAAAGGTCATAAGGTTGATATCTAAAAGGATATAAACACATGAGTCACCCAGAGTTAGATATAGAAAAGCTTTTTTTTATATCCTATTACCTACACTGCTGTCATATTTACATTACGCTAATATGTTTTCCAAAGCAAAGTAATATTCATTTAATTTCCCGTTTTTATTTTCTAATTTCACACTGTAGCACAGAGACTGGCTCGAGTTGGACGTTCCATTCCAGTGTGCATAATGCCAGATTTACATTTGTCAATTATTTGATTTAAATTCTTCTTCTCATTGAGCGATAAAGTTTGCAGAACTTTAGGTACTTTTAGATATCGATTTTGAGATTGAAATTTTTTTTTTTTTCGTTACCATGGTCCCACAAACAAACAAAGATGCACTGAAGATGAGTTACATATTGTGACAGTGCATATTGGTTTCCTCAGGCCCCGTGTCTGTCAGTGTCATCCTATGTGGTTTCACAGGTTATTCACATTTCATCTCCTCATCTTTGTGGCGTTCCGTGTGGCATCTTTTGACTGTTATTTGTGTTTATTTTAAGCAACATGTGTGAGAGCCTCACTACTTTAACACCACCTTTGTAATTCTCGTCCGTATTCGCTCATTGTAAGTTCTTCTGGTTTGTTTTTCTGACAAAATATTACACAAATATGTTAAATTCATTGATTCAATGTCCTGGAACTTTGAGCCTCGCATCAGTTTATCACTGTATCATGTGAGCGCCATCAGGTTCACATTTCAGGAAAATGTGTGGACTTCAGTGCATGTCTGGAAGCAGCTTGAATGAATGGCTACAGATGTTGCACTAAGTTCAACAAAAAACAAATGTGAAACAGTTAAGTTTGTAATGACATGTCAATGTCAAGAGTGTGTCCAGATAAAGATGGGAAATATAATTTGTAGCTACAGTCATGATTTAAACCACAGATGACATTCTACTTTTCATGTGTAATTAAAGACAACATTAAAAAAGCACTAATCCTAAATAAGCAGCACATTAGTACATCACAGAAACAGAGTTAAACAAGATGGAGCTTTTATTAGGTGTACGATCATGCTTCAAGTCTCTCTGATGGTTAGCATTAGTTGGATTCTTGTAGATATAAAGAAAATCCCTTGAATACATTTCTGTTCTTTTCTTTACCCCCCCTTTCAAATCCACGTGCAGGTCCAGTGCTGATGTCTGGGGGTCAGAGAGGAGCGGTACCGCAGCCCGGGATGCCCCAAGTCTCCAGCGTCATGGAAGATGAAATCCTCATGGACCTTATCTGACCGAACATGGTGCACTCTGGGTTTTTAGTGAACACTCTGCGGCCATTTGCCAGTTTTGACACATACATCCACTCCGTTGCTTTATTGCTACAAATGTTCAACATAATTAAGGAACAAGTCATGAGTAGTTTCTCCTGTTTTTTCATGAGACCGAGCAGCTGAAGTTAATTAGGGGCAGACAATGCAAGCATTAGTTTTTCTTGTAAATGGTCAAACCGACAGGGCGCTGATCCTCCACGTTACACACTGGATGGAGCCAAAGCCGTGGAAACGGTCAACTGTGTTATGCTTCTGAAAAATCGACTATCTTATGATTTTTACATTTTGTCAAGGAGATCTGAGAAGTGTAAGTAGTTTTTTTAATTGAAATTTTACTTCTTTTCTGTTTTTTTCTCTGTTTATTATTCATGAAGTTGTTGTTTTCTGAGGATTAAATAAAACTAAGGAGCATAGACATCTGAAGAAGTCATATATGATTGTGAAGAGGTTGATGTTGATGCATGCACATGATGTTGTGCTTTTGATAGACGACCAAAGACTCCAGAGTCCTTCCTCCCCCTGCGTGAATGCAGCGTGGACCCTTAAGGTGAGAGAGACTGATTTAGACACAGTAATAGATAGTACAGTGTCTTTTTCTGCCAAATAGTGTCACAGTGTTAATTTTAACTACTACAATATGTCGCGGAACCACAGAGTCCCCTTGTGCCAAGTAGTCCTACCAGATGGCATCAGTTGGCCATGTTTCCTTTGGCATAACATACTGTCAGTGACCGCATGCGCACATGGCACAGACTCCACATACATGCCCACAGTCTGCTTTATGAAATCGCGCCCTCGCATTGCACCCGCCATGCATGCAAATCAAACCCTGCACGCCAACAAACGCCATCCCGTCGCGGTGTGGTGACACGGGTGCTGAAACTGCAGGGACTGTGCGCGGGGGAGAGAGAAGAGCACATGAACTTTGCACAGCTTCACACGTACGTTCATGACACATTCGCGTATCAGTTCGTGCCGGGGTTTGTTTTTTTTTTTTTTTCCCCTTACCCCCCCACACTTGGACACTGTGTATACACACACACTCACCAACAGGAAGTGATGTCAGTCCCTGTCACCTGGGAGACAGAGACGGTTGCTAAGATACCGTGACAGTGGGTTCTTGTTTCCGAGCTTTTCCTCAGCCCTGCTTTCACATTGACTCACACAGATAGACACTAGTCCCTCAGTGGCTGGTGTTCATCCCTCCCATCCCTTAATCACTAGCTGGCCCTCGGAGCCCGGCTTAGCTTCACTTTATCTTCCACTCTCTCACACACACACACACATTCTCTCTCTCTCAAGCCATCTCAATCTATCTGCCTCCATCTCACTATCACGCTATTAGCGCCTGTCTGAGCTCATAAGTTTTCTTTTATTAACAGTGAAAAAGTTCACATGATGAATACAATTGAGACTCAACTGGCCTTGATTTATCAGGGTTATTTGGCAAACATCTACCATGTTAGTTTAAAAACTCAACACAAATCATCAAAATGATGATCGGACCTGTGGTTCCGTTAAAGAACCACCACCAACATGTAACACCATTCTTCCAAAATACACTCCCTCATTGAGCTCCACAGAAAATGATTCAAATCTTTTTCATGCACATTAAACCACTCAGATATTTAGATACAGTGGCTTAATAATACATTCACTTTGTTGTGTTGTAGACTTAAATAGAGTTTCCATGGTTGAGCATCTGTCTAGCCTCAATAATCCTTCATCACAATTTGTAGGTATTTTTTACAAATCTATTAAAAGTCAAACTCACTGAAGCCGCTGTATAAACAAAAAAATGTTTTTATTATTTTTTTCGAGCAAAACTCCCCGACATCTTTTGATTAGACTTTATTAGAAGTAAGGATCTGATGCATTTTCTTTGATAAATGATAATTAACTTAATACATTTGGGGTTTTACTTGGTCTGACTAAACTAAAACTAAAGATGTGACTCTGAAAATTAGAAATAGGTGTTCCTCCTATGATAAATACATTTAATAATCAAGAAAATAATCAACAGATTAATCAACGATGGAACTCTTCGATCTTTGCAGCCCTACAGTGACCTTGTGCCTTGTCAGGAAGCAAACACGATTTTTCCCTTTAATGTGTCAAAATCTCTAGATGATTGTTATTAAGTTCCATATTGCCTCGTGTGCACAGTGCAATGTTATTGTGCAAATGAAGATAACACTATGTTGTTCAATGAGATGGAGATAAATAACAGAACGTTTTACCATTAAAAGATCTTGGTTATAAAGTATGATTTTAGCTTCAGCCTCTCAAAATCAAAGAAAATCCCTCCAGCTTTAATATCTCCGCTGCTTGTAGTTTCTCCATATGTGACCTGCAAGTGTTCAGATACTCTTCCAACAGCGGCTGAAATCCAAATAGCGCTGTTTGTAGAAATATGGATGTGCCATTGATTTATTTTTGCAGCAGACACATCAAAGTGGATTCATCAGTCAGTAAAACCCATGAAAAAACCGAAGGGGTGAAGAAATAGTCATTTAAAAAATGTAACACAATAACAATAAAAAATACAAATGCTAAGTAAAAAATGAGTAAAAATACAATTACAACATGTAAAACCATACATTAGGTTTTATAACCTGCATTAAACTCACCGTCCAACTCACTCCCACTCCAATGGGACAATTTTCTGGGGGACTCTGTGGTGGCACCAGGAATCGTGTTGAAAAAAATCATCCTCTGTTGTTTTCAACTTTTCCAACCATGTAAAAACTGCGTCTGTGCACTGAGATAAAGACTCTGCTGTTTCAAATATGGGACGAAGCCGTTTTCCAAAGACTACACCGTTTTTTCTGAGGGGAAATCTCTCACTCACTGGGTGCGAGGCCAAGAACGTGGAGGAAAGATCTCCCAATCCGGGCCAAAGTGGTGCTTTTGGTTTGGATCTGGCACCATCACCTTAAGCCAAAGATCAGTATAGAAATGCGACCTGATCTGCTTCATCATATCTCGGCCACTCGCATGAACAAAGCCACAGATCTGACAACTGCTCAGCACCCGTTGATGAGTCGGGTCTAACTGACCGACCTGTGTGGGAGAACTGGGAACTGAGGGGGTTTCCCACTCAAGAAAGGTTTCTGCCATTCTTGGAAGAGGCTGGAGAGACTAAAACTGAGTGGACCGTGTTACAGAGGCTGCCGTCTACACAAGCTCTGTGGTTTTGAAGATCTCGACCCCCTGGGATGTCATGTAGGGAGCTACTGTGGGAATGTGGAGAGGTGGCGCTGTTAGGAGGACTCATAAAAGCCATCTGGGCTTTGTACACCTGGAGAGAGAGCCACAGCGTGTTGTCTGTGGGTGGTGGGCTTTATCAAGTAATACTTGTACTGAAAGAGTCATGAGAATATTTCGATTTCAGTCAAATCTTCTTGTGCTGCAGGTGCTGCTTTTCCTCTGATGGGAAACTTATTGTATGGCAGCAGAATTTCCTATTTCTAAGACGAATAACACAAACTATATCAAAACCTCGGTTTTCTACCGAGGTAACTTTAGGGCAAAACGACTTTTTAGTTTCTCCTGAAGAACATCAGACATTGCTCAGCTCCCTATGGACACTCAAGTGTGCCACAAATGTGTAGACTCACTAAAGTATACTGCACTTCGAACATTGTAGCCAACAGTCTTAGGATACCTTAGATTTTCTTTAATTAGAGATCATTTTTCATCTTAATGCATCAAATACTTAATATTAATTTGTATAGATCATGAGAGAAGTGATTTAACACCCACATCTGATTGGTGAACTGTGTAATATGACAAAATTCTTTATAAAATAAACTTAAATTCATTTTGGGTTCTAACGGAAACTATTTTGTTCAGGCTGACTTTTTTTTTTTTTTTTAACTTAAACTGAATTCCCTAGAGTGACCTATTTTACCTCCAGATCCTGGTGGCTTCATCTCTGTAGACCATAATGCAATGCAGCAGCACTCACTCTGCTGCTGTAACTGTCCATTTCCGCAGCTAACGTTCGCTCCACGTTCACCTGCAGCTGAATGGAACACGTTCTGGCAGTTACTTGTGAAAGACGATCTAAGAGATGAAGCCCTGTTCCACATGTATAAAATATTTCCACCATATACATGGAGTGTGTAGAATGTTAATGTTGCTGCCCTCTGTAAAAATCCAGGAATGCAAACCAGATCTATCTCCCAAAGAAACACACAATGGAAATGCTGGACCTAACTTTAGGTGAAATAAATTATGGAGGACAGTGTAATTGCATTGATAATGATAAAAATAAATTGACAAACATTTACGTTATATATTTCATTTATATACAAACTGCCAAACCCAATTTTAGTTAATGTGTATTATAGCGGTAATAATATAAACATAGGACAAAGCGGTGGAGATCTCTCAACTATAAACTGTAAAATATTAAATATCTCAATAAAGAATGTGAGTAGGGGTATTTCCTTTAACATGCGGATTTATAACATATACATTAAATGTCTAATTAAAAGCATCGAGTGCACTTAACCTCAGTCATCCCTGAACACATCTTTACATATGATCGTAGCCTGGTCTGGTCTTTACTGTGAAGTGGTTTGGGTCAGAGCAACATTGGCCTGAATATAAAAAGCCCCTGCCACGTGTTGATCGTGTGGCATTTTGGCTGTTGTCTGTCCCTGTCGTCACACGAGCAAAAGGCAGTGGACCAGTTTAAAGGCCAGTTAGGGAGGCTGTGGGCGAAAGATGAAGATTATACAGCCTGGTGGCAGGAGTGCTGCTCAGCATAATGGGGTTTATAGGCCTGGGGGCAGAGTTTGTTTTACGCCCTGCCGGAGGAGGTGATGACAGGAGCGAGCGATGGAGAAGCAGGAGAGACAGTCTGATTATTAAACCTTGCCACATGGAGAGTGGATGTGTTGTAAAGGTCCTGGTGGTGGATGACTTTAGCCGGCACATACGGAGGTGGAGGAAGGTGGCGGTCGGAGGAGCACATAACACCAAAAATTGGATTTTTCTTTGGGGGCCTGGTGGTTGAGGTCCACTTGGCCTGGGTGTGGGAAGATCAATGGCACTATCGGCCCTAATGGATGCGGTTGCCAGATAGGGC